TGGATCTTGGTATGCATTGCGGCATAAATGTCTTAATCCAATCTTGAATAAATGGCTCTTCAAATTAATGGATCTTGGTATGCATTGCGGCATAAATGTCTTAATCCAATCTTGAATAAATGGCTCTTCAAATTAATGAAGCACCAACGCTTCGTGATTTATTCTCATGCTTGAAAGCAATCTCTTTTCTACATTTCAACTTGAGATGGATAGTTCTTCTTTTGACATGCCAAGAATGTCTATAGTCCATCTCTTTATTTTCTCCAAATAAGAGTTTACTTGAAATTATTAACATGATTGAAAGAGTTTTTTTAAACTTTTGTTGCTGCAGGAAATGGTCATATTGGCCACTGCAACCAGGGAAACAACATGTATCTCTTTCCAGGGTCAGTTTTCCCAATTAAACTTTTTCAAGCTAAAGTAATATAGTCATGCATTTCCAATTTTCTTACCACCTATTTATGCTTCTATCCTTGCAGTATCGGACTTGGGACTCTACTTTCTGGTTCTAGGATCATCTCTGATGGCATGCTACAGGCAGCAGCTGAATGGTATTTTTTTTTACATATCCTTTCTGAAGTAGGTCGACTGAAGCATTTTCTACAACTTGTGAAATTTTTAATAGTTCATCATCCAGAGACAATTCAAGAATTTATAGATATTTTGGATTAAATATGTTGGTGTTGCTTTTCCAAGAAATTTAAATAGACTACGATATAACCAGGAAAACAAATTAATAATGTACTGGTTGTGTTAAGAATCACTAAGAAAGATGCTTCATTCTACCTTTTTTTTTTTGGCAATTATGTTTCAATATTGATTATCTAACTTCAAGTTGAAAATTACAGCCTAGCCGAATATATGGCAGAGGAGGAGGTTCTGAACGGAATCATATACCCTTCAACATCTAGGTACTTTTATCTTTTCAATTTTCTATCCAGTGAGCTGAAAAAGCTTTGCAATCTAAAGGTTGTGTGCATGTTCCGAAAAAGCTTTGCAATCTAAAGGTTGTGTGTATGTTCCTGACCTCATAGCTTCGTACATATTTGCAGAATAAGAGATATAACAAAGGAAGTGGCTGCAGCTGTGGTGAAGGAAGCCATAAAAGAGGATCTTGCAGAAGGATATCGTGAAATGGATGCTAGGGAGCTCCATAAACTCAGCCAGGTATGTTTACTATTTGTTTGAAAACCCTTTATTATAGCATTAGCATGATACCTGAAGTTGAAGTTGCCCATCTTGTTTGCATACTTATGGATGATCTAGTTGTTAAATTAAGAGGATTTTTTTTTACCTGAACCTGTACTCCTTGGGACTTGTCAGGTTTTTTATTTTTTGCATTTGAATGGCACAAAAAGATCCATATCCAACTAGTTTGGGATTGAGGTTTAGTTGTGGTATCTGAAAATTGAAATGACATGGATGCATAATATTTGAGAACAGCATTGGTTTCTCATTGATCATTGAATTTTTTTTTTAATTACATTGTCACCCTTATTCCCAATACCTGCAATGGAATGTGAACAATTGCTTGACATTGAAAGGTCAACTTGTCCTTGAAATGAGTGGTAGGTGTGTTGTAGTCTGGAGGAGAAAGTCAAATATGATTTAAGTTTAGCGGGTGCATTTGGGATGTTACTTCTGTTTTCATCTTGGCTGAGACAAGCAATTGAGAATTTTAGGCTAATTCATTCCACCCTAATTTGATTCTAAAGAAACAGAACCTAAATAGCATTGCAAGTTGAAACCTTTTTTCACCAGTAGTTCTGAATCTTTTGGTGATCCGGACTGCATGGCAGTTCCTGATTCTCACGCTTATTCATGCGAGGCCAATTCTAGTCGGTTTTCAATTTGACACTCCCACCTGATTTACAGGAGGAAATTGTAGAATATGTGAAGAACAACATGTGGAGTCCGGATTACCCAACATTGGTCTATAAGATGGATTGAAACCTGAGAAATATGCACCAAATTTGTCGTCAAGCCTTGCCAGCAGGAGAAAAGTGGGGTTCAAACATGTTGTCAATGATTTTTACGTTGCAGCTTGGCAAGGGCATTTTATGTTTTCCACTCCATTAAATTGTTGATTAGTTGGCTCGTATAAAGGGCTTACATTTCAGTTTTCTGTTATCTCCTCAGTGGTGTTTTGTGCTCCTTATCTCCCTGCCTGTACAAGTAAGCCAGCTGAAATCTCTTAAAATGGATGTGAATCTGAGCTTTTTATGCGTTCCTTGTAAAACTATGCTTTAGTGGTGGCTTTGTAATTATATATATGCATGAGCACAAGCAACTGTAAATTTTTTTGTTTAAATATGTAATGCATATGATGCAGATAGTTGAATGCTTTCATCATTGAGTTGTGATTGCAGCTCATAACTTTGAGCTCTGTGCTTGTTTATTTGCCCCTTGGCTCCTTGAAAAAGTTGTTTTCTTCCTAATTAAATATCATAAAAAACAACTGCTTGTGAACAATAAAGTCACGGCATGCATAATAATAAAAGAAAAGACACTGGATCATGCAAGAAAAGTTATCTGGTGCTATTGCAATCATCTCGGATATAACGGTAGAATTTGAGATTATTTTTTTTGAACGGAGCTGGAGATTACTATCGAAGTGAACTCTCATACCGTGTTAAAACGCATGGTTGGAATAACTGTCTTGGTGCCTCATTTACTTTGGGTAAATTTTAAAATTTTTAAAATAATATTATTTTAAATAAAATTTTTTAAAAATAAAATGACTTGGTTAGGTCTACTTGGTTGATTAGGTTCCCTTAGATTAATTGCAAGTCTTTACACTTGGTGGTCCTCTTCGGGTTGGTTGGGTTCACTTGGTTTAATTCTAGTCTAGCTCGTCTAGCTTAGTGATAAATTTAGCTCAAGTTAAAAGGTTGATAACTATGGTTAGATGGATGACCAAGGATGCTTTTATTTTTCTTCGTTAAGTTCAATAAAATAAAAGAAAAGTAAAAACTCATTTGATGCAGAGGCTCAATTTGGATCGTGGTTATTAGCGGTTGCCAGGGTATATATAATTCAATTAAACAGTGGTATGTGATGTAAAAATTTCTTAATCTATTTAAAGTTTGACCTAATCAAGAGTTGATACGATTAAAGTGTCCCGAACATTCCAAAGTGTGGAATATAAAAATGAGCTTTCTTAATATGTATATTTTTAGGGCAGAAACAACCATAGTTTTAAAATCTGACCAGTGGCTAACCTGGTCCAAGACCTGGGTTTTGGATTTTGAACGGGTTGAACGGGTCGACCGGGTCAATTTCTATTTTAAAAAAAATTCAAAATGACGTCGTTTTAATAAAAAATAAATAAAAGTCAACGGGTTACCACCGGGTTTTTGACCGGGTTTTGCCGGGTCGGCTGGGTCACGCCTGGTCATGGCTTACCTTATTTTTTCATCAACCCGGCCTGGTTCTAGCCCCGGGTCGGCCGGATACTAGGTCAACCCGCCGGACCGGGCCGGGTTTTAAAACTATGGAAACAACAATGGACCCTATAAATGCCTGTTTGTATTGTTATTGATACAAAATGTATTTAAGCGAACATATTTTTTTTTTAAATTTTTGATAACTGCACATTAAAATTATTTAAAAATTAAAAAAATAATTAATTAAATATTTTTTTAAGCTAAACACGATTTAAAAAATTAGATTATGCACTTGCGGGTTCAGCCAATCGAACTGGAATAGACCAAACCGTGGATGCTTCGAATTTAAAATTCCAATCTCGAGGAAAACTACCGCTCGGGCTTCCTAAATTATTTTGCTTCTGCGTATTATATTATTTTGAATATGAATAATCAATTAAGTTTCAAGAACTATGTATGATATAGTTAAGAAAATTTATTTTATTTTCCAGTGTTTTTAATTAGAGCTGTAGAGTCATCATCAAATTAAAATAAGAGTAATTTTGGAAATCGTTTGAAGAAAAAATTCAATGTGCACTGACGTATAAATTGATTTTAAATTTAGCTTTATTTTTTTAAAAAAAATTGAATGACAAGATGAAAAAACATTAGATGAAAACTGAACATAATCTCAAAGTATAAAAAATCACAGTTATAAGATTAATATAAGGGATGAACTTCTGTTCATAATCTGAGTGGGGAATCGGATGAGTTAATTAAAATTAATTTAATTTTAAAAAACTACTAAAATGATTATTTCAAATGAAAAAACTAGGTTTTTTCACTAATTCAAACCTAAGATGTCTCTAGCTCGTTTAATAATGGGGTTTAATATGTGTTTTAAATTGTTTTTTTGTCTAAATAATATTGTTTTTAAAGTGTTTTTATGTGTTTTAAATTGTTTTTTTGTCTAAAAAATATTGTTTTTAAAGTGTTTTTTTTATAATTTTAATGTTTTGATATTAAAAAATTTAAAAAATATTTATTTTAATATATTTTTAATTAAAAAATTATTTTAATAAAACACTTTCTACTATATTATTAAACATATTAAATATTAAATATTTGAGGTTGTGATGTATAATGTTTTATAAAATAGCTTTTGATTTGAGAATATATCATTTTTTTATATTGGGATACTAAAACCATCAACAAATACTAAAAATCAATAAATATTCTAAAAAAATTAATTTAGTATTTTTTTAAAACCATTTTTTTTTAAAAGTATTTAAAAACAAAAATAAAAAGAAACCATAACTACGTGAAAAATAGCATCATAATTTATTCTCAAATAATAAATAAATAAATGAATAAATAATTAAAAATCTCAGCAAAAATGAGTGGATGCTTACAAGGAAAACGGCTTTATTTCTGCAATTATGTAAAAAAAAGTGGTCCACACCTTTGGCAACGTTCAAAATTCAAAAAAACTCGAACGGGTGACGGTAAAATCATAAAAGCCAAGCCAAAGGAACCAAGTAGCCACCAGAAAAGAGTCAAGTCACCGGCATACACACTGCTACAGGGACCAAGCAATTGACACTGACATTTCTAACAAAACAGGCACCTCAAAGCCAAGCGTTTCTTTCTTCGTTGAAACTTCTCTGAACTTACTTCTTGAAAAACAAAATTTTGAGCTTATTTTAGGGTTTGTTTTTTTGGAAATTTTCAAAGATGACAACCATGGAGAGCTTGATAGGGTTAGTAAATAGAATCCAGAGAGCTTGTACAGTTCTCGGCGACTACGGTGGCGTTGATAACGCTTTCTCTTCCCTTTGGGAAGCTCTTCCCTCTGTTGCCGTCGTAGGTGGACAGGTAACAAGGCCCTCGTTCTTTTCTTTTGTTTTCTTTTCAACTAAAGACAGAGTTTGAAAGTTTTTCTAGCTAGAAAGATATCTGAGAGAATTTTTGGAAATTATATTGTGGAGAAGAGACAAGGCGAGACTTTTCAGGGATAAAAACAAAATATTTATAAAATTTTGATTTGATTTTGGATGTCGAGAACAGAGTTCAGGAAAATCTTCAGTCTTGGAAAGCATTGTCGGTCGAGACTTTCTTCCCAGAGGATCAGGTTTGTGCCTTTTTTTGTCCCTTTTATTTTTATGAGTTTTTTTTGTTGTAAAAGATGTTTGATCATGGTTTTTATTTTTTGATGAATCTTAATTGCAGGGATTGTGACAAGGAGGCCTCTGGTACTGCAGCTGCATAAGACTGAGGATGGGTCACAAGAGTATGCTGAATTTCTTCATCTCCCGAAAAGACGATTCAGTGATTTTGGTATTTTTTTAAGTCCTATTATTGCTTGAATTCTACCTACTTTCTTGTCAATTTGATAAAACTGTTGCTGATTTTTTTTTTAATGTGCAGCTGTGGTGCGAAAAGAAATTCAGGATGAAACTGATAGAATCACTGGGAAAACCAAACAAATTTCTCCTGTTCCTATCCATCTCAGCATCTATTCTCCAAATGGCGCGTGATTAATAATTTATTTTCAATTTTATTTGATCTCGAACACGTGGATTCGTTGTCAACTATGCTGTTTTCTTAAGTTGTCTGTCTTGCACCAATGTTATGCTCAAGATTTGAACTTATGTTTACTTGGTCTGCTTTGTTTTGCAGTTGTCAACTTAACCCTGATTGATTTACCTGGTTTAACAAAAGTTGCTGTTGGTATGTTTTTGCTTTAATCGGTGATCTTGTATTTATGTTTGCACATGTTTTGGTTTTATCTGTTAGTGTTGAATGGCAACAAATATTTTAATCTTCAGAGGGACAGCCTGAAAGTATTGTTCAGGACATCGAGACTATGGTCCGCACTTATGTTGACAAGGTAATGATGCCTTGCCTTTCATTTTTAAACTGGGAAATGGTGGTCATTTGGGCGAGTTTTGTTGTGTTTCAACTCAATATGCTTAAATTGTCTTGATATTTTAAACATGGCCGCGTCATTCTAGCTTATCTTCTATATTTCATGTTTTATATCTGTAGTCTTTTATGTCCCAAGGGACTGGTGGAACTTTCAAAAGTAGGATGCATCCATAACATTTTGACATTTCATGCTGGAATTTAAGCATTAAATGAAATGGCCTGCTTCAAAAATGTGTGCCAAACATTTGCCCGAGTTGTGTGTGTGTGATAGAGAAAAGAAATGCACAATGTTTCTTTTATCCAAATGAGATCTTTCCTTGTGCATGTTTCTATGTTCTAACTGATCAAACTAAACATGTTGATGAAATGGCCTGGTTCAAAAATGTGTGTTGAATGCCTGAGAAGTTTAAGACTTCTGTTCTGTAATGAATTGCATAGATGTGTGATAGAGATACGAATTGCACAATGCTTCTTGTATCCAAATGATATCTTTTCCTTGTGCATTTTTTATGTTCTAACCGATCAAACTAAATGTTTGCAGCCGAATTGTATTATACTTGCTATATCTCCAGCCAATCAAGATATAGCAACTTCAGATGCTATCAAGCTTGCTAGGGAAGTGGATCCCTCAGGTATTTTATCGCATATAGCTGAGTGCCTGAGCTATATAGAGATACGAAACATTTTGTTACTTGGTTTAGTGTTCCTTGACCTATTCTTGTTCATCACTTTGCCCAGGTGAACGAACTTTTGGGGTGCTGACTAAGTTGGATTTGATGGACAAAGGGACCAATGCCTTAGATGTAACCCCTCCTCTCTCTCTCACACACACATACACACACACACAGCTCAGGCACACACATGCCCTTGTTCACACCCTCAAACACACACCTTCCTTGTAATTTCTATATCAAAATCCAGTGAAATTGCTTATTTCATAATCAAGAATAAAAAATATTATTTTCTGTCTGTACTTAAGGTTCTTGAAGGAACATCTTATCGGCTGCAGCATCCTTGGGTTGGAATTGTGAACCGATCCCAAGCTGACATTAATAAGAATGTTGACATGATTGTGGCAAGGCGCAAGGAGCGCGAGTATTTTGCAACTA